AGAACTGCTGGAATATCTGGAAAATTGAGGACAACTGTCTGCAAAGACAATACATGGAACTCCACGTCTAGCAAATGTAGACTTCATGAAGGCTGTGACTGCTTTGCTGTTTGGTGTCTGAGTTGCTACTCAGAGTAGTTTGATGGTCGTCTGTCTCTACTATCTTACTTTTACCTTGGAAGTCCTACAGATGTGCTGGGTGCTGGATGTGGAGCCAGACGTTCTGCTTGTTGCTTTGGCCTGTTTCAAGCAGTCAACCATCATGGATCTTGCGGAGCATTTCTTTCCTGAGGCCTGCATGGTGGTACTTGGTGCCTTTGTAGACAATGTCATCCACTACAGTGAGGTTGGACATGCATGTCCTGTAATCATGCAGTAAAGCTGGACAGTGCTTTTTCTGACCAGACCACTCATTTTGTATTTGTGCATCCCTTGTTTTGCTCCTATTAGTGCTGATGAAGTGTATGCAGGTGGCTGCCATGCATCACCATATCACCATACTGCTGAAGAAGAGCTGCTCACAAGCCATTTTGGGAAGCATCTGCTGAAAACCCTGTTCCTTTGGTAGGATCATAGAACCTGAGCACAGGATCTGCAGCGAGTGCTTTTTTTAAATTCCAGCATTTCTTCTGTTCATGTGACCATTTCTGTGGATGGACATGGACATGGTAAATAACCATCACTAGAAACCTCCTTACATCATCCTCGTTCTTTGGTTTCTCCATGTTCTCGATTTCAGATGTTTTTTCTGAAATCTGGCTTTGAACCATTTTCTGAGACAACCCGTGGGCTCCAGTCAGGAGGCAGCTGTCTAAGTAGGCAGTATTTTAAAATGGCAGCATTTATTTTGACCAAATTTGACGGCTGCATCGCATGTATCCTTCTCATCAAAGGCAATCCCACAATACTGTTCACCTGTTTACCGGCCGAGAGTTCCATCGCTTCAGTTTGGTAAACGTGGCGGACAGAGTGGCCGTTTCTGCAAACCAAAGAGTTTACGAATGTAAATTATTTCTTGCCTTCTGACTTTACTGTTTTATTTGCTTTTTGTATTTATAAAAGTATTTAACATATTTGTGTTTATAGATCTAAAGAAATTGTTCTTGTGGTGGACTAACGTTACAGCAGTGGAGAGCCGCTTCTGAGGAACTGAGGAAGAGGAACAGTTATGGGGAGAAAATTGTGCTTAATTACTGAAAACAGCTCACTTTTCCAGTGTGTGTGGGGGGAACACGGCAGAACCAGTGCTACAGACTGACGTTCTCCCTGAACGATGAAAAATACTTTAACTTACTGGATGATGTAGAAGATCAGAAATAAAATGTTTATGCTTAATTTTGCTGCTCGGCTTGTCTGGTATTGCTGTGCTTATCACAGTCACATCAGTGTGAGGTGAATGTTCATGGCTAAATTTCAGACTAGGAGCTCATAATTCAGATGAGAATGCATAAAATAAAATGCATATTAGCAGCTTAACAGATTGTGTGACCCCTTTTTATGAGTGCATTTTGTACAAAATTGTGTTGTTTTTATCTTTTCTGTGCTAGAAATAAAGCAAGTTCATTAAGGTGGATGAGGACAGTAAATAAGTAAATGTATATATAATATATAACAACAGACAAACAACTCCCTAAAGCAGCCTGTTCTTCATTTACAAATTTCTTTTACAGTGAGATGATCCACCTTTACAGTCAGAGGTGAGTGTAAACTAACCAGAGACTGAGAGTAAACAGATAAAATGTGTACAGCTCAGTGAAACTGACAAAGAAGCTGCTGGTGTCAGAGTCCAGACCTCAGCTGTGAAGGCTGGCTCCAGGGCTTCAGCACTCCTGGCCACCAGGGGGAGACGAATATACATAAATATAACACAAAGGCAACTGCACATTTCTATTGTGGTCCAGACGACACATAGGTTTATTCATTATTCATGAAAATAGTAATTGTCACCAATACTAATAATAATATTAACCACATAACTTCAGCTCATGTTAAACTAGCTGGCTAAGTTGTCCGGCTATCTTAGCCTAGCATAGTTAACACAGTATGGAAGATTAACACTGATTGTAAGAGCTGTGACTTTTCTGATAAGTGTGTGAAGCTAAACTCAGAAATATGAAGAGTAATGGTTTTTATTTAGCTAAGTAATCCTAAATTAATGTGTTATTATATTATCTTGTCTAGTAAGTAGCTGTTAGCCATGCAGTTAGATTTGGTGAATCAACATTCAGTCACACATACAATTAGGGCCGAATGATTTGGGTAAATTATATGAAACTTATTGCGATTATGAATTAAATGTGATTGTTTCTATAAATTGAGTTTCAAGCCCTTTTTCACTTAGAAGAACAGCTCGTCTGTTTATTGGACGAGTGCTGAGTGTAGAGTGCTCTACTGCCAGTTCACCAGCTATTAGGCCAAATTTCTCCATTTAGAACTGTTTAAAACAATAATGAATAATATAGGATAGAAATACTGAAAATATTAGAATGAAGCTCATTGCAGGTAGCTTTCACTGCCTGCTGCTCACGTTCTCTATACCTTCTCTTTATATCTCTGGATTAAATGTCCCCCAACACAGCCCTGATGTAGTAACAGCTGCTGTGAGGATCATCTTCCTTCTTTTTAAGGAGCTGTAATGTGTGTTTTCAGGTGATCTCAGGGTGAGAATCTGGACGCTCTGTATGTTCAGTCTGGATAAATAGTTATGGTTTGTTATAAAGTGATGATGAGCTCTGTAGAAGCTGCAGCAGAAGAAAAAGTTTTGCTCTCATTATTTGAGAAGCTCTTGCTGCTTTTCACCTGGTCTGAGAATTTCCCACCAGGAGGCGCCACATGAACATCCTTCCTTCAAAGTCGAGTGTGAAATCACAAACTACAAAATGAAAGTAATGAAATAACAATGCACACATATAAATAACAGTAATGCTGAACCAAGTACAATTACAGCTACACTGAAAAAATGGTATCTTATCAAATCAAATTATTTTAAATACAGTTAACAAGTCTAATATTTGTCCTGTTGAGATTGTTGCAAGCTTAAATAAATGTATCCATAATTTTGTTTGTTGTAATTAATGTGCCTGAAACCAGCAACATTGTTTGCCAGTATAGCAAGATATTTTTACATAATAAAATGGCATAAAACAAGTAAATCATGTATAGAAATAAGACAACTTTATAATAAGTGCACAACCATCTCAAAAATGGAAATATTAGATACATAGACTAGATCTAACATCATTTAACTTGACAAGATGCCCTTTTTTGCAGTGTGGTCCATATTTTATTTCTAATACATTTGTACTCATAAAAAAGCCAAAAAATACAGATGTTGCTAATCAATAAACTGCAGTAACTGAAGGTGTTTAAAGTGCAATAAATGCCATTTTCATCCATTTTGTTTTCTAGTGAAATAAGTTGTTGGGAGTAAGAAGAAATTTTAGTGCTATATGATGATTAATTTGCCATTTATCTGCCATTAATAGACGAATGTGCTTTTCCAGCAAATACAGCAAACTGGATGCATCCTCTGGGATCTGGAAGGTGAAGTTAGATGAGAAATCTTCAAAGCTCTGCACCTTTAATACATCACAGGTTCTTATGCCGCCCATATGGGGCTCTTTCAGCACCTGAGGTTCATCACAAAACTACCAGGATGTTGTTCCAGCAGATTCAGGAGTACAGACTATGATCGATAACATCACTGTGTGAGGTGGAACCCACTGCAGATCCTGTGCTCAGGTTCTATGATCCTACCAAAGGAACAGGGTTTTCAGCAGATGCTTCCCAAAATGGCTTGTGAGCAGCTCTTCTTCAGCAGCACGGTGATGCATGGCAGCCATCTGCATACACTTCATCAGCAAAACAGACCACGTCTTCAACATGGTGGTGGTAGTATGAGGGGAGGCTGATTGAGGGAGGGGGAGAACTCTGAGAACTTCTGGGCAGCTTCTGCCTGTAGCTAGAAGGCCAGAACGCCCTCATAGCTGTAGTGGGCCTGATGCAGGACTGAGGAACGGGATGGTGGCGGGGATTGTGAACACTTCATCACAGGAACGGAAGGTGAGGATGTGAATTTATAGGGTGTTCGATTGGAAGAAGGAGGGTTTCAGGCATGCTCCTCCCCCCAAACTTCGGTTATAACATAACTACATAAGGAGCTCTTAACGTGTGAGATTCCACCAATTTGTGTACGGTCAAACATTGGACACAGATCACAAGCCACTAGTGCCAATGATGGCCAAACGACTGTCCAGTGAGAGCACACTGAGTGCCAGTCAGACAGCAAAACTATGCTGTAAATCTTATTCACACTCCTGTTAGTCCATGTTTGCCACTGACACCCTCATCACACTCTCTTGTACTGCAGACAGGGAACACGGGATAAATGTAGCATCATGTGCAGACATAGGTACGATAGTAGCATCACTTCCAGTGTGGTCAGAGAGATCAGAGCAGATATAGAGACTAAAGCTTATGAGAAGATAAAGCACTGAAAACAGTCATACTAAATGAGTGTCCTAGTCAGAAAGAGGACTGTCCGAGGTCTGACCTCACTGTGGTGGATGACATTGTCCACAAAGGCACCAAATAGATCATACATGCAAGATCTATGAAGTCTGGTAGAGTATAAGCAGTGTACCAAGAGATGTTGTTCATGAGGGTAAAAAATGCAAGAAATGGATCAAGTCATGCCTCCACACTTTTGTGTGCTTTCATTAGTGTTCTTGAGTAGAAGGAGGTCTGGAGGACGAGGTAGCTGCTCATATCTGCTGCCTGGAGAGAAACTCTTCATAACAGAAGGATTGTAACAGTTGCTACAATTTTTTTTCTATTTGTTTTTCACCAATCATACAGTGATTAGAGTAGTTTCCAGCAACAGTTTGTTTGTGTAGGTTAAACATCTTTCTTTTTAAAAGGAGAAAATATTATTGTTATGCATGCATAATGGGAAACTACATTTCCCAGAAGCCTACAAAGGAGACCAGGAAGGAGGTAGGAGAGGGGCAGCTCAGAAGGCTGTTGTTACAGAAGGTTGTTGTTCGGTGTACAGAGCAGTGCTTTATTAATACAGTAAATTCAGTGCATGCTGGAACACTGCAGTGATACACCTAATAACTTAATTTTTTCTCCTAAAGCACAATGATGGAAAGGCCGGAGTCCGTAGCGAGTGGCTGTTCAGGGGAGATGCCTTTTTGCTGTAAACCAGTTGAAGCCCTGGAAAGGTAGAGCTGAACTACATTCAAACCTTTTACTGTGAACTGATTTGCATTCCAGCATTGCAGTTTTAATGAAATGAATTGAAATAAAATTAGATTTTTTAATCCCTGAGAGGAAACAGTTTAGCGAGAGACGAGACAAAAGTCAGCAGGGCACTGAAAGAGTGGAGAAAAAGAACATTTCTCACTGGTTCCTGCTTTGTTACACTGATCAGATCAGGGTTTTACTGAAACAGGAAATCCTGCTCTGCAGATACTGCAGCACAGCTGTTAAAGTCAAGTAGAGGTAGATGGTTAAAGAGACTGTCAACTCAAATAGTAAAAAAAATAGTAAAACTGTTTTTACTAAACATTAAAAGAATGGAAGCAATGTTTACATTTAAAAATAGGTTTAATGTTTCTATATAATTTCTTTATATTAGTACATTGTAATAATTATTTTTACTTTATATTAGTACTTTAAAATGATAAGCATAGCTTTAAATACTAACAGCAGACAGTATACAAAAGTAATGCTCAGCACAGCTTTCATTCCGTTTATTAATGGACATTAAGGGATGTTTGTTACTTTTGGCTGCCTTCAAATTAATTCAGTGTAGTGTATTGGTTTAATAAGTGTTGTGCCAAATGGATCTAATCATACAGTTAATTTAATATTTCAGTGTAAGTCATGACAGGGCATCATCACCTGCACCCAGCATATTATCTACAGCGAGTAACCACTCACATGAAGAGCCTCTTAATTTCAACAAGCTCCACCTGAAGAAAATGATCATGGATGTGCAGGAAAAGAACCTGGACATGAGGGAAAAGAACCTGGCAGAAAAGCTGGATTGGAGGGAAAAGAATTTGGCCAAGAATCTGGACATGAGTGAAAAGAACCTAGACCTGAGGGAAAGGAACCTGGCTCTGAGGGAAAAGAATCTGGCAGATAAACTAGATCTGATAGAAAAGAACATGGATCTTAGAGAACAGAACCTGGACCTGAGGGAAAAGAAGCTGGTAGAAAAGCTGGACCTGAGGGAAAAGAACATGGATCTTAGAGAACAGAACCTGGACCTGAGGGAAAAGAAGCTGGTAGAAAAGCTGGACCAATGGGAAACGGACATGAACCTGAGGGAAAAGAACCTGGTCGAGAAGATGAACCTGAGGGAAAAGGACCTGAACTTGAGGGAAAAGGACCTGGACATGAGGAAACAGAACCTGGCTGAGAAGATGAACCTGAAGGAAAAGGACCTGAACCTGAAGGAAAAGAAGCTGGTAGAAAAGCTGGACCAATGGGAAAAGAACATGGATCTTCGAGAACAGAACCTGGACCTGAGGGAAAAGAAGCTGGGAGAAAACCTGGACCAATGGGAAATGAACATGAACCTGAGGGAAAAGAACCTGGTCGAGAAGATGAACCTGAGGGAAAAGGACCTGGTCGAGAAGATGAACCTGAGGGAAAAGAACCTGGTCGAGAAGATGAACCTGAGGGAACAGAACCTGGACCTGAGGGAAAAAACCATGACCAACCTGCAGAAAGCAACCACTGATTTGATGGTGACCAATGAACAGAGCCCCCCAGAATACAGCTTGAGAGAGAAGACACCTACAGAAGGTGAGTGACAAACGGATGAACTATGCACCACCTAAATATAAACTATGAGTTTTTCATATGTTCATATTTCACTGTAAGACTGACGAACACAGTTTTGTCTTCAGCAGTGTAGTTTTCCAGTGTATTCAGTGCCACATCAGTCACATTCTGAATTTTGTTTCTCTTTAGGGACGAATATCTACACGAAGAGCTATTACGATGTTGATAGTGACTTCGACTTATATGAATATGTAGTATCCAAAGAACTGAGCCTCTGAAAGGACAGCAGGTTTGATGTTTATAGGTTTGGGCTGGACGGTAAACACAATACAAAGTTGTAAAGCACTGATACGTAATTATACATACAGTTTACAATATCCTCACTGAGTTTCTCTGCCCATTCGTAATAGAAAGTCTGTTTTATGAGGAAATTATGGACATAAAAGCTGACACACAGATGATCTCACCGGGCGCTGTGCGTGATCATATTATTCTTCTTCATATTATCATTGTTTTTATAGGTCTTTTCATTCTGCATGCAGAATAAACAACAGAAATCAATGTTCTTTTTATAACAGTGATCATTTTAGTTATCAGTTTTGTTAGTGATGTATGTAGCCAATATGTTGTGTTTAATACTCAAATAAAAGTAAAGCAGGTAAAATGGAAATGGAAGCTCCTTTGCTCTGACCAGATCCTGAATGATGTCACATTGCATTAAAACACAAGGTCTAAACTAACTTCATAACTTTGCATATTGGGTGTGTCAGTCATTCCCACCTTGGATGGATATTTTCCATATTGTTAAATCGTCTAGTCTGTGTCAGCAGCGGTTTCAGTTTAACGTGTGCTGTACAAATGTTCATTTCAGAAAATCTGATTTGAGTTATTGTACTTAAATGGTTTCAACAATAGATATTCTCAGTCTAGTTGAGTCTGTTCACAGGTTTTACGGTGGTGAGAACAGGCCTATAGTTGACCCATTTCAGCTTTAGATAAACTATAACTCCCACCACTCTCAGTTAGTTAGCTGTCTAGATCATCCCGACTGAGAGAAAGTTGTGTTGTAGATTTTCAGATTTAGCCACAACACTGCAAAAAATGGTCTCTTGTCAAGTGAAATGATAATTCTATTAAGCAGAATTATGTGACTATCCTGGCAGATGATTTAGCTTATTTTAAGAAATGTGTTTGAAACCAGTAAAATTATCTGCCAGCATAGTGAGATCATTTACTTAATAAAATGACTCAAAACAAGTAAAAACCATCTAGAAACAAGTTTTGTAATCTTGTAATAATCGTACTACAATCTAAAAATGAGAAATATTCTATTTTTAAAGTAGATTTAAGATTGTTAAGAGATTTTTTGCAGTGTATGATTTCTTGGCATAAAAATTGTATGTCTATTTGACACGAAAGACTCATTTTTAACTAATGACACAAATGTTCACAAAGGAGTCCTGTAAAATAGGGCTGTATTTCCTTCTGAACTTCCTTTCGCCACTTTTTATTTTTTGCAGTTTTAAAAAGTGCAGTCAGCTCTGAGGACGTCACAAAAACTACAGTACTACAATACCCACAATGCACGCCATCCGCAATGCTATGCAGGCCAGAAGGGACTCTTGTGGGGTTTCAGGAAGTGAGCAGCTGGTTAGCTAGACAAACTGCTGCAGAAATAAAGTTCCTCATGATGTGACATTTCAAAAAAGGAAAATTATAAAACTTATTCTGAGCTCTTGATGTGTCTTTCCTTAAAATATATCATGAAGGGTCAGGGGCGTGTTCAGTCTCAAACACTGCACCATTTTGCTGCAGTTTTCAAGATGAACAACGTTTCATCAAAACAGCATGGCTGCTTCGACTGATCGCGTCACTTCCCGTTTCAAGCTTTATGATGGAGGGGGAGGATCAAAAAGTGCTGCTCTTCACCGCTTGAGTGTTTATATCCAGCGGAAATGAAGCCACATTCTGCAAACCTGTGTGCAGAAAAGTGACATATGGAATTGCACAATCAGTCCACAATTAAGACGGAATTCTTGTGTGTGAAAGGAGAACCAGTGATAATGAGACCCTCCCCCAAAGGAGCCCAGAATCAGGTTACCTTTCCCCATTTATAGCTTTTAAAACAACACTGAATAATGTAGGACAGTAGTGCTGATAACGTAAGAATGAAGCACACTGCAGGTGGCTTTCACTGCCTGCTGCTCTCCTTTATATCCTCATCTCCATTTGTTAAACATCAGTAATGGCAACTAATTACCTTGTTGTGCACTGTTTTGTCTTTTCGGCCCTCAACCCACCACAAACACTGCGTTTTGGCCCCCCAACAGAGCCCTGATATGGCAGTAACTGCTGTGAGGATCATCTTCCTGGTATTTTTAAAGAACTGTAATGTGTGTTTTCAGGTGATCTCAGGGTGAGAATCTGGACGCTCTGTGTGTTCAGTCTAGACAAATAGTTATGGTTTGTTATAAAGTGAGCTCTGTAGAAGCTGCAGCAGAAGAAAAAGTTTTGCTTTCATTATTTGAGAAGCTCTTGCTGCTTTCACCTCGTCTGTTTAAAAAAAATAAAATAATAATAATTTCCCACCAGGAGGCGCCACATGAACATCCTTTAAAGTCGAGTGTGAAATGTACATCACAAACTACAAAATGAAAGTAATGAAATAACAATGCACGCGTATAAATAATAGTAATAGTGATCCAAAATTTAACAGCTACACTGCAAAAATGGTATCTTCTCAAATCAAATGATATTAAATACAATTAATAAATCTAATATTTCTCCTGTTAAGATTGTTGTAAGCTTAGTTCGAGATTATCTAGCTTGTTTCTAGACATTATTTCCTTATTTTAGGTCATTTTAACTAGTAAATGTATCCATAATTTTGCTTGTTGTGATTAATGTGCTTGAAACCAGCAACATTATCTGCCAGTATAGTGATATAATTTTACTTAATAATATGACCTAAAACAAGATAAATAAGGTAAATAACTTTACAATAAGTGCACAACCATCTCAAAAAGGGAAATATTAGATATATCAACTAGATTTCAGATCATTTCACTTGACAAGATACCATTTTTTGCAGTGTGGTCCATATTTTATTTCTGATACATTTGTATTCATAAAAAAGACAAAAAATACAGATGTTGCTAATCAATAAACTGCAGTAACTGAAGGGGTTCAAAGTGCAATAAATGCCATTTTCATCCATTTTTTGTTTTCTAGTGAAATAAGTTGTTGGGAGTAAGAAGAAATTTCAGTGCTATATGATGATTAATTTGCCATTTATCTGCCATTAATAGACAAATGTGCTTTTCCAGCAAATCCAGCAAACTGGATGCATCCTCTGGGATCTGGAAGGTGAAGTTAGATGAGAAATCTTCAAAGCTCTGCACCTTTAATACATCACAGGTTCTTACGCCGCCCATATGGGGCTCTTTCAGCACCTGAGGTTCATCACAGAACCATCAGGATGTTGTTCGAGCACATTCAGCTATGATTGATGACATCATTGTGTGAGGTGCCACAAAACATGAACAAAACAGACAGTGACAGGTGGTGGAACCCACTGCAGATCCTGTGCTCAGGTTCTATGATCCTACCAAAGGAACAGGGTTTTCAGCAGATGCTTCCCAAAATGATTTGTGAGCAGCTCTTCTTCAGCAGTATGGTGATATGGTGATGCATGGCAACCATCTGCATACACTTCATCAGCAATAATAGGAGCAAAACAAGGGATGCACACATAGAATTTGTGAGTTCGGACCGCGTCTTCAACATGGCGGTGGTAGTATGAGGGGAGACTGATTGAGGGAGGGGGAGAACTCTGAGAACTTGGGCTGGAGTTCTGGGCAGCTTCTGCCTGTAGCTAGAAGGCCAGACCTCCTCATAGCTGTAGTAGGACTGATGCAGGACTGAGGAACAGGGAGGAGATGGGGGGGTGGTGGGGAGTGAACACTTTGTCACGGGAACGGAAGGCGAGGATGTGAATTTATAGGGTGTTCGATTGGAAGAAGGAGGGTTTCAGCCATGCTCCTCCCACAAACTTCAGTCATTACTAACTACATAAGGAGCTCTTAGTGTGTGAGATTCCACCAATTTGTTTACGTTTAAACGTTGGAGACAGATCACCAGTCACTAGTGCCAATGATGGCCAAACGACTGTCCAGTGAGAGCACACTGAGTGCTAGTCACACTGCAAAAGGATGCTGTAAATCTTATTTACACTCCTGTTAGTCCATGTTTGCCACTGACACCCTCATCACACTCTCTCATACTGCAGACGGAGACCATGAGATAAATGTAGCATCATGTGCAGACATGGATATGATAGTAGCATCACTTCCAGTGTGGTCAGAGAGATCAGAGCAGATATAGAGACTGAGCCATACTGAATGAGTGGTCTTGTCAGAAAGAGGACTGTCCGACTTCACTGATTACGGGACGTAAAGCTCCAGCCTAACTGTGGTGGATGACATTGTCCACAAAGGCACCAAGTATAAAGGTCATCTGGTAAAGCATAAGCAGCAAGCGAGAGAAGTTATGTACTGGCCTGTGACCAATAAAGACATATCACAGGATACAGCAGCATGTGCACAGCCTGTTTGCATACAATGTTATATCATGTCACTGTGTTAAAGTGATCACAAGATCTCTAAATGTCTCTGGTTTGCATTATTTATGGTTGCTCAACTCGATCTAGCCAAGAAACCACAAGCAGCTTTTATCAAGTACCAGAAGTTGTTGTTCATAAGGGTGAAAAATGCAAGAAGATCACCAAAAAACCTTTGTCTGTGGTCGGGAGGTGTGTGGTGTTGTACTCTGCTCAGTTCATCAGTTGCAGGTGCAGCACTTACAGTCTGGCGTCAGGTGTTGTAATAATAACTGCTGCACCATTTAAGGTGAAACAGGAAAGTTCAAATAGGAAGCTGGCAAATAGGAGGCCAATCTCAGCCAATAAAGTTGTGCCTCCACACTTTTGTGTGCTTTCATTAGTGTTATTGAGTAGAAGGAGGTCTGAAAGATGAGGTAGCTGCTCATATCTGCTGCCTGGGTAGCAGGAGAGTCTCTCAGTTCAGCTGACAAATCACTCTCTTCATAAAAGAAGGATCACGTCCAGCATACGATGTGGCTTTCTGATATTTTTCTCTCGTAATATTGTCCATCCTGCTCTTCACTTCCTGCCCTCCGTCTGGATTTCACATTGGAATCACATGACTGTGAACAACCTATTGTGCTTGAAATATAACAGCAACAAGCAGAATGTCTGGCTCCACATCCAGCACCCAGCAGGCCTCATTACAAGACAGGAGCAGATCTGTAGGACCTCCAAGGTAAAAGTCAGACAGTAGAGACAGACGACCATCAAACTACCTTGAGTAGTGACTCTACAGACACCAAACAGCAAAGCAGTCACAGCCTTCATGAAGGCTACATTTGCAGTGGTCCTCAATTTTCTACATATTCCAGCAGTTCTTCAAAGAGTGGGGTTTCCAGCCCAACGCCTCAATTTTCCCAGTTCAAATGGACTGGTAGGAATCTCAGTCAAGAGGAACTTACTTTACAAAAAGTCTGATGATCTACAGACGTGCACCAGTGGAGA